AATAATATTCAAGATATATTTTGTTTGTAAATTTTAATTTATTTTTAGTTTATTTGTATTAGTTTATAATAAAATATGATTTGAAAAGTATCAGTAGTTGAATTATATATTTTATAAATATTTTTATACTGATAAATTTAGAATTAATTATATCAAAACCCTTTCAGTTCTCAACTAATATCACTTGACTTTTTGCTATATAAACTCTTATATTTTGAGTATCCTAACTAACCTATAGGACATGCAAAAATTAATGTACAAAATGTTTAAAAGTCAGTCATTTTTTAAAAAATGATGCAAAAATATTTTCTTTAAAAAATGTTTTACTTCTTTTTGTTCAATCAAACAACAAAAAATTACGTCAAAACAAACGAAACCTTATTTATAATAAATTGGGTAAATTACACTGACACTTCCTAAGGTTTATATTTAATACAGATCTCCCATCATATTTGAAAAATTACACTGATCCCTATCAGTGTAATGATGTTGACGGTGTTAACTTTTGGATTAAAAGGACATATTTACCCCTTAACCTTTATACATATAAAATAATAAAATAATACAAATATTTTGTTCATATCATTTCAAGATAAATAAGCGCCATCTTGTTTGGTTTAACTCACTTCTCATAAAAACTGAGCTTTTTCGTTTTTACTGATTTTTTGAAATATTTTACATAATTGTTTTTTAGATACACCTAATTTAGATATATTTAAAAAGTATAATAATTTTTGAATTTTTTTAAATTCACCAACTACAAAATATATATATATATATATATAAATTAGTGGTAAGATGCTATAGAAGATGATAGTCCTCTCAGTGTTCACTTTTTTAGTACATTATCATATTTTATTGTATTCAATGAATTTTTTTAAAAAATTTGTACAAATTATATATTTTTTAAGTATATCTACGTTAAATGGATCTTAAAAAAAAATCAATTAAAATGTTTTAAAAATTTATTAAAAATATAAAAATACGAATTGTTGATGTTATTTTTGTATAAATGTATATATGTACTGTGTTTTTGTGCTTTCAAGTTTGATTGGGTGGTTGGTTAGATTTTAAGTGAACGGTGGTGTTTGGTAATTATAACGGCTTGGGTTAGACCCGACCATTTCATGTTCTTGGATCCAGGATCTGATACTCTTTATCGTTGTCTATACTTGTTTTTGTCTTGTTGTTGTTGAGTTTGGTTGTTTGGAGTTGTTGGTTGTGTTATGAGCAGGTTGATAGTTTGTTTTTCAAAGGAGTTCATGTATTTCAGGATCGCTCGAGTAGTATTTCCTTCGCTCGAGCGGTCTTTGGATTCTCTTAGTACTTTTGCAAGTCTGCAAAACTACTAGGAGTAGGGTGATCTTCGCTCGAGCAGTTCTTTTTTTACTCGAGTGGTCTTCTATAGTTTGCAAAACTTCTGGAAGGGGGTCATTGTGCGCTCAAACCATGTTGTGGTTGCTCGACCGGTGTCACTTACTTGTCTCTAACGATCGAGCAGGGGTTTGGTTGCTCTAGCGGTCTGTATGTATATCAGATCGGGAAAAAGTCATTTTCTGACACTTTTTACCTCTCTCTCTCTAAAACATCTCAAAACCTAATTCTTCACACACTCTCTCTCTAGTTCTTACCTAAACACTTAAATACACCCAAATCCGTTGATCTTGCCGCCCTAGTACATTGGAGTAAAGTGTAGAACTCGTAAGGGAGAACATTTTAATCGGTGAAACTTCCATTTTTAACTCCTTCTAGAGTTAGGACTTGTTTCTTTCTTTTTCTACTCTTGAGGTAGGGACTTCTACAACCTTCTTGTATGATTCTTAGCTTCGTTATGTGCTTCTTGTAAAGTATTGTGATTTGGAAGTTTGGGGTTTGATTTAAGGTTTGGTTTTTGAAATGTAAAAGAGGGGTTTTCAAATGGGTTTTGAAAAAGGTTGTGGGAATAAGTATATTATTGAGTTGTGTTCAAGTATTGGAAATTTTTCCTAAAAATGGATTTTTGAAAGTAAAAGTTTTTTTTTTTTTTTTTTTTGGAAATCATTAGTGTTTGACCTATGAATGAAAGGGAAATATATTGGATTTGAAAGGATAAAATGAATTTATCCATTGATGATGAGAGTGGAGTTGGATATACATTATCATTTTCATTTTGAGATTATGAAATTATAATTGTTATTAGAAATTTATCTGTTGTATAGAGATATCTGTTTTGGGTTATCGGTGGATGATAGCTTTGGTTGTTGTAGAAATTGCATGATGATTAGGTTAATTGAAACCAACTACTCATACATCATGCATTGAATATTGTTTCATACTTAATCATTAAAAATGTATTATTTTGAGAAAAATTGGTGAATACCCTGGTGGATCTGGTTAGAGAATATGGTTGTGGTTTTATTATGTTGGTCTGTGTGTCTTTGGTGAAAGTCCAGAAACTCGCGCGGTTAGGTGTTGATCCTTCCGGTTAGTATCGATAAAATAACTTTGGTAGTAGTTGTATAACCTACTAGCAGACACATACCTAAAGATTCCTAGTGCTTTGTATCCATTGCCCTGTTTTCTGATTTAAAAAGTATTGTTTTATGAATTTTTACATATATACATAAGGCATTACATTATTTTGAAAGAGAAAGTATAATGTTTTGGTAAAAGGGCATGCATGTGCATTCACCATATAACTTTGTTAAGCTTTATACGTTGTGTTCAAGTATCTGTACTGGGCTTTAACTCATTCTATGTGGAAACCAACTTTTAGGTGCTGATGGTTGCCTCCACCAAGGACGTAGCTTGGGAGGATTGCGGAGCTGAAGGCTCATTTTTTTTTTTTTTCTTTCATTGTAATTATTTTTTGTACAAGCCTCGATCTTTTAATTGTTTTGGGACTTGATCCACTTTTGTTATTACCAAGTATCATTTTAGAAATATGTAGCCATTAGGGTATAAACTTATCTGTACTCCTCTTTGTTCCAGTTTATTCATACATGTCATATGCTATAGATTCAAGATCTAGGATTCATGAATTTATATATGCATATGTCATATTTTGTTTGGGAAAAGAATATCAATGAAATGTTAATGTTATGCAAGTTTCTGTTTTTCTATTGAATATCATGAGGAAGGTTGTTATTATTATGTTGGGGCATTACAACTTGGTATTAGAACTGTAGGGTTTGAATACTTTGGGATCGTGGAACATGGTTTTTACCATAATGGATTTATCTCGCTAGCTAATATTAGAAGTAGATCTGGTATACTATGTGATAATATGTTTATGTGACTAGATGACTATGAGATTTGGTTTCTAAGATATTGATTGGGTCTACGAGTTTCTAGAAGTCCTGTTAGAAGAGCACTTGATCATTGCTAATTCTAACTTGAACTCTGGAAATGTCGCAGAACGATTATTATTTAGAAAGGAAATTTGTTTGTGACTATGTGACTCGGTACTTATGTGGAATGAATTATTTGTTGTCCATTATATTAGGACGTGAGTGAATTAGCTTCGACACATTTATAAATGTGCTAAATTATTGTGTTACCTTTATCAGTATGTCAAGATGTAGATGTGGTGGTAGTAGGTGTGGCCGGTGTAGGCAGTAAGAGGTGTTGATACTAGATGAAATTTTGGCACAGGAGGAGGGGATTGGTCAGGCTAACGTAACTAAGCCAGTAGGTCAGCAAGCCATGGGCACCTTAGTCCGCAAAATGGTGAGCATTGTGAGAATCCATGGACATTCTCAGGGTTAAGAATCAAGTGCAAGCCCATGTTGTAGAGATATGGCCATTCTTTTTGAAGAGAGAGTTTTTACGGTTGAATCCGAATGAGTTTGTCTAGGATCCGAAAGAACCACTGCAGGCCAACGAGTGGCTTGAGCAGATGGTAAAGACGTTCGAGATGCTTGGCATCAAGGACGACGGTTTGAGGGTGACCTTAGCGTCTTTTCAACTAAAAGATGATGCAGGTCAATGGTGGAAATATGCAAAAAGACGTATCGGGATGACTCGGGAGGCTTTTGTTAACGCCTTCCAGGACAAGTTTTTGCCACCCATAGTGAGGAAGAAGTTGGGAGAGCAATTTTTGGAGCTCAAACAGTTAAACACACCAATGGCCGAGTTTGAGGCTACTTTTACTAGCCTTTCGAGGTTTGCACGGAAACTTGTGGCAACGAAGGAATGTCATTGCATCGAGCTCGAAAAGAGGTTTGGGCTCCTTTTTAAGGTGGTCGAGTCTATGATTAGGGATTAGGATCATCTGGTGGAGGTGGCGGCTCACCTAGAGACAGTGATCCAGATGGAGGAGGAGTCGATGAAGGGCTCCAGGCAAAGGAGTCAGGATGTTTAGGGTGATACAAGAGATAACAAATGGCAAAAGGGTTCCACCCTCGCAGCAGTCCCAAGCTACGCAATCGAGGTCCACCTTTCCTGTGCTGAGTTCAGGCTCGGAGAGAGGTAACGAGTGTGGGTTTCAAGTATGGCTAGTTAGGCCACAAGTCTTTAGTTTGCCCGCAGAGATAAAAAGGGCAATAGTCTACACCGTCTTTGACTCGTTCTCAGGATCAGGGTCAAGAGAGAGGGCAGCCACCTACCTGTTATTATTGTGGGCAGTTAGGGCACTTGAGGAGGTTTTGCCCTCAATCTAGTGGCACATCTGGTGTGTCTAGTTCGAGGTAGACATAGAGCCATCAAATAACATAGTTAGCATAAGCCTTGAGAGCCAATCAGGGAGCCACTTCAGCTCAATCCGTGTATCAAGCCTATGCTCTGAGGGGTGAGCAGGTGGATCAGAGGTCTTCAGGGCATGTTGTTAGACTTATTTATTTTGATGATTTATTTAATTATATTTTAATTTATTTGAAAAAGAAAAATAGAATCCAAAATTTATTTTGATAATTTATTTAATTATATTTTAATTTATTTGAAAAAGAAAAATAGAATCCAAAATTTATTTTGATGATTTATTTAATTATATTTTAATTTATTTGAAAAAGAAAAATAGAATCCATAGGTTATTGAAAATGCTGCCACAGATTGATCAGCTTAATGCCAATCAATGGATCAATTAATTTGGAAGGGTGATCCATCAGGTAACTTCTCAGTAAATTCTTTACATAACCTGTTTGCCTCATCTGGAGGTTGTATTATTCCTACAATAGAGTTTATGTGGCAAAGCATTGCCCCCTTTAGAATTGTTGTTTTTTGGTTAAAATAAATGCTCTAGATGAATCATGTTCTGGGCTCTGATATATTTGTCGGAATGAGTCAAGGTCAATTTGATCATCTCTTGTTACTTTGTAGGAGATCTAGGAAATTTGGGGCGATTGTTTGTCTTGGTGGGTAATGAAATGGGTTGTTCCTTATCGGTTAATGCCTTGATTTGTGGTTTGGATTCAAATTCAAGAATGTCAAAAAGCTCTTATGGGAGGCTAAACCCATCCATGGCAATTTTTTGGACTATCTGGAAAACCAGAAATAATAACCTTGTCTTTAATAATGGTGAAGCTTCTTGGGAAAATGTCTTGGAGTTAATTAAAGAGAAAGTTGCAACTCGGCTAAAAGCACATTGAATTATCCCTTGCTATACAGTTGCTGATTTAATCTTAAAGATGAAAGAAGTCAAAAACCTACACTTCCCTTTAAAAGGTGAGGGACTTTTGTGCTTTGCTAGGTTACGCAACTGTGGATTTTCAAGTATTCTTTTGACATGGCTCTGCTCTCTTCGTCTTTGTCCTTTTTTTTACTTTCTGTGGGTTGACGCTACCCCTCTTTCATGTGGGGTAGTATGGTAAATTTACTTCCCAAATTGTTGCAGCCATGCTCCCAACTTTTTTTTGTCCGTTTGTCGCTAAATTAGCCACTTTTGTCATTTAGTGGCTAATTTAGCCCAAACCCAACTTCCCAAACGCAGCCTTACAAACTTTCCCAACTTCAACTACAAATTTTTGTACATTTTTTTGCCACCAATTTCTGACGACGTTACGCATGTACGTGTCAACGTTTCGAAATTTTGTGACAATAAATTTTGTTGAATATCATTTAAAAAAAATTATAAATGTAATTTTTAAATGCTTACAACGTAATTTTCAAGTTGTTGATATTCATAACTTTGTATCTGCAATCTGTTTTCATAAATTGTTGTAGTTAATATAAATTACATTTAAAATTGTACATGTATGTTTACAAACTTTATCATAATTTTTTAAGCTCATTAATACACTAATACAACAAAGATTTGTTAATACAAAAAATTGATGAAACTTCATATTTTGTTGTATTGTATATAATTTTTTAACGATTATAATACAACATTTTAAAAACTTACATTTATGAAAATGAAGTGTGTCTAATACGTAATCAATAAATAAACAAATAATTTCCTTACAAGTCACATAAAAATAAATAAATAAATAAATAAAGGGGATAAGTAGGTTGTGATTTCTTGTGGGTCCTACGCTCAAATGATCTGATAGACGCTGTAGACGCACCTGAACGTTCCGGGAAAAATCCCGTTTTATTCATTTGGGCTCACTACAGTTCGGACTCAATGTCACGGTCCTATATCTAATCTCGCGGAGTGCAACACAAGGCCGATGAATCATCAAAGAGTCCAAATCCGGCAAATCATTTTGAAAAACTGATTTTTAGAAAAAAGTGCCAAACATGGACTGCTTTGCCAGATACGGAGTCGCCACCTAAATATTTTATTTTGGCAGAATTTAGGAAACCCTAACCCTGACTCGTGCCTAAGGCCACGTGTTTGTCATCACCAAAGTTGCCTCGGCTCGGGAACTTGGGTACGATTGGGGAAGGTCAGCTATGAGCACCTCCGCTCGCCCGATCAAAGATCGGCCACTACTAAACATGATATCTTGTTTTTGAAGACACATGTGTTCTTATTTCGGTTATTAGCCTAGATTTACTATGTGATGCGCACAGCAAAACAAGTATAGACTAGATCGCCTAATTTGGGATAATGCATCGCATATCCGTTGGTTTTGAAAATGGATTGAAATTTGATACTCGCAAGTAGGCTAAAACACGATTTTCGATGAATTATTCCAATTCAAGCAACCTAACCTTCACCCACAGGCATTCAGGCAGTTAACCAACTAAGCAGATAGCCTCATGGTAAGCATGTTGTCATGGCAACACTCACACACATGTAAGGATGCTAAAGCGTAAACGCTTACCTAGTACTTCAAGCCAAAACAGAAACTAGTTAGTAATCAAATGCGTGATCCTAGTTCATGTTGAGATGGCTAATGCAACGCATGCTATATGCAACTAGAAATAGGCTCAGCTATTCTAAGATGTCATGTGAAATGCAACTTGATACATGTATTCAAATTGGAATTGAAATACAATGCAGTTAGCATAATGCGTTGAGTCCCGTGCATGCAAGACATATGAATGAATGTAAACATGCGAGCATAAGTATGCTAATTGAAACATGTCCTAAACTAACCATCAAAGCAGGTAAGTAAAAGGGAGAAAGACGTGGGATTGGAAGACATGCATCACACACACGCACACTTATTACAACATTGCCCTCTCTCGGAGGGTCCGAAAGAATAATACAAATTAACTAACTAACAAGCTAATTAATTATTTATAACACTTAACTAATTAAATGAAGTAATTAAGCTAAGAAAGAAGTAAAGAGGTCTCGGGAGGAGGGATGAATGCATACATGTTCGATTTCGCTCGAAAATCCATCGCCATACTCATGCTGCCTCCGTTTACACTGCTCTGCACTTCTGAAAACTGCACAAGTCTCCAGGATGTTTCTGAACCACCTTCTGAGCACTGTGGAAGGTCACCGGCCAAAAGGCAAGGCCACCGGCCATGGGAAACTGGTCACCGATCATGTGTGAGGCTCTCGGCCAACAATGCATAGCCGGCCGGCACTGAAGATGGCCGACCGGCTATCTCTTTCTGCAGAATCCTGTTTTGCTGCAATAGAGGGCAAACAGAGCATGGCAATGCATTTTCAAAGTAATGTTTGCACAACCACCCTCCTTATCACGTTTAAGACTCAAAGGAGTATGGTTTTCGACCCTCGGACCATCAATCACGCATTTCAATGCATGATGGTCAAAGAAGCCAAGTGTGTAACTCAATACGGGATGAAATGCACAAAACACACAACCTCTATCATGATTGATCAAGAGGCAAGAGATGCACACACAATGCAATGCAACCTAGGCAAGCAAGCAAGCATGCAAATAACTTAAGTGTGCAACAAATCTAATGCAACATGAGCATGTTAACATGCAATATGCAATAGGCACACAACCTAAACATGTGGACATGTATAGCATGCAACAACATGCAAAATGAAACAAGCATGCAACAACATGGTGAGATGGACTTACACTAACATGGGTAGCTCTCAAGCATGCCAAAATCAGTGGCCAAAATGTGTTGGGATGGTGGCTCGGAATGCACAAAGATGAAGCTCATGTAATAGTCCACAAATGAGGCATACAAGTACAACTCTCAAACGCATTTAAAGAGTGATAAATGCATGTGCATGACCATGAAACATGGACTAAAATTACACTACAAATGATGCCAAATCATTGAAATAGGCCAAGTAATGCATACTAAATGACTCAATACACAAAGCTTACAAGCAAGATTAAACCAAAGCTATGCAAAACAAGTCATGGGTGACCAAGACGACCAAAATCAGACCTCAAGCATACCAAAACATGGATAAAATCTTCTTGAAGTCAAGCCAAAAGCATGCTAAAAGGACATGTCACAACATGACGCATGTTAGGCTATTTCATGGGATTGCATGGTAAGTGTATGGAGCATGCAAGGGCTAATCAAACCAAACCTAACCTAAACAAAGGTATGGCACGATAAAATAAGCCTAAGAACATGCTGAAATGGACACAAAATAGGCTAAAATGAGATGCTACTTCAAGGAGCATACAAAGCTAATATGTGTGATTTACACTACAAGTGTATGAGGCATGCAAGGGCCAACCAAACCAAGCAAAAACAGATCTAAGGCATGTTAAAACTACACCAAAAATCTACTGAGATGGCCCAAAAACAAGCTAGAAACACATGCTCAAACATGAGTCATACAAGACTAGTTTGCGAAAGTTACACTACAAGTGTATAAACCATGCATGGAATGACCAAGATAGGCAAAAACAGTGGCATATGACAGAAAAATAACCTCAAATACCAACTAAGACATGGCCCACATGAACTTAACAAAGGTACTCACATATGAGGCAAACATGGCAAGTATTGAAGACAACAAGGAGAGGGGATGGCCATCTCCTTTTTAGGACCTCAAAACACTACCCACACCACTGGTGAGAAGGCCAATACAAGGTGGTCCCGAAGCTCACAAAAAAGGCACAAAAATGAGGCCAAACAAGGCCTAAGAGGAGGTAAACAACCCCAAACACAAAAGTGATCTTAAACAAACTTCAAAAGCATGCAAAAACAGACCTTTTATCAGTTATAAATTAAGCTCAAACCAGCATGCAAGATAGGCTAAAAGTGTGTGTAAAAATAGGGAATAAAGAGGGTAGTTCTCACCCTTGATGCACAGCTGCAAAACCAGCAGGTTCTTGGACCAAGAACCAACTCTTTAACCTCTGAAAATGACCTCCAAGAACCTTAGATGAATGGTGAAGGTGTGTGGCTATGGGGTGTGGTGTAATAGGCCAAGAACAAGACCATTTTGAACCCAAAATATAGAGATATAAAGAGAGATATATCTTGGAGCCTTAAACAAATTTTTAGAACCTCTCTAAAGGAGAGGGATAGAGAAACAAGAGGGTTCAAGCTTCTTGGAGAAGCTAAAGAGGTTCAAGCTTCTTGGAGAAGCTAAAAAAAGGTTCAAAAGGTTCAAGCTTCCTCAAGAAGCTAAAACAAGGGTTCAAAAGGTCCAAGCTTCCTCAAGAAGCTAAAACAAAGGTGCAAATCCTCCATACACGTGCATGGAGGATAGAGACTGTGCCACCTGGCACTAAATATCTGCATAAAGCAGATGAACAGGGTTCGGCCAGCAGAAAAGGCCGATCGACCAACACAAAGGGCCGGCCGACTAAAAACATTGTCGACCGGCCAACACTTTTGGCCGGTAGCAATAAAATAGGGCCGGTGGCAACATTCCAAGGCCGGTGGGGTGTGGAGATAGCCAACATGCCATTTCCCACCCTCAGGTGCAAAGACCACAAGTCCTTGGTCCAACCAAGCACAAAACAAATAAGTCGAGAGATCTTGAGGCAAGGCGCGCGGCCGAGACCTCCGAGAACTCGAGACGAACACGAACATGGATAATCATCGAGTGTTCAAACGATGACGTCCAAGTCTTGAGGACGGTCAAAAATGGGGTGTCTACAGTTGCCCCTCTTTGACAGAACTCGAAAGTCATAACAATGACGGGAGTGAATGTCAAAGCCTAGAGACGACCTATTTTTGACAAGGCCGAAGACTTAGACAAAGCATACAAGCTACAGATGAAGATATGCGCCCGTAGGCAGGGGCAAGATGCAAGAACAATGCACAAAGCCGAGCATAACTTATGATCACGCAAAGAAAGCTGTAACGAAGCATAACATGCAACAGTTTTAAGCAAGCATACACAAATCTAACTACATTACATGTAGAAGGGTGTAAGAGAATTAC